GGTCCCTGGGGATGCGCTGAGGGCCCGTGGGGCGTTTTTGTGAGGATGTCTCGAGGGAGGGCGCTGGGTTGGGACACGCCCGGCGCGCCCGGTGCAGCGCCGGAAATGGTCCGTCGGGGTGCGCTGGGGGCCCGTGGGGCCCGTGGGGCGATTTTGCGAGGATGTATCGAGCGAGGGCGCTGGGTTGGGACACGCCCGGTGCGCCCGGTGCAGCGCCGGAAATACTCCCAGGGGGTGCGCTGGGGGCCCGTGTGGCGATTTTACGAGGATGTCTCGAGCGAGGGCGCCGGGTTGGGACATGCCCGGCGCGCCCGGTGCCCCCAGTGCAGCGCCGGAACTGGTCCCTGCATGGAGGTGCGCTGGGGGCCCGTGGAACGATTTTGCGAAGATGTATCGAACGAAGGCGCTGGGTTGGGACGCGCCCGGCGCGCCTGGTGCAGCGCCGGAAATGGTCCGCGGGGGTGCGCTGGGGGCATGGCGATTTTGCAAGGATGTCTCGAGTGAGGGCGCCGGGTTGGGACACGCCGGTGCGCCCGGTGCAGCGACAGAGAGGCCCGTGTGGCGATTTTGTGAGGATGTGCTGGGGGTGCGCTGGGGGCCCGTGGGGCGATTTTGCAAGGATGTCTCGAGCGAGGGCGCCGGGTTGGACACGCCTGGCGCGCCTGGTGCAGCGCCGGAAGTGGTCCCTGGCTCCCTGGGGGTGCGCCAGGGGCACGTGTGTCGATATTGCGAGTATGTCTCGAGCGAGGGCGCCGGGTTGGGACACGCCCGGCGCGCCCAGTGCATCGCCGGAAAAGGTCCCATGGAGGTGCGTTTGGAAGCGACTCTCCCGCGCGCCGGGGGTCAGGATGACGTGAGTTCCACAGAAACTCCCTCAAATCATCATCAGCAGCAGCAACATCATCAGCAGCATCATCAACAACATCATCACCATCACTACCACAGTCAACATAAATACCAGCATCACCGCCAACGACGACATCATCAACATCATCATCATCGTCAACCTCGGCATCATTATCAACATCATCGTCATAATTTGCATAATCGTCATAATCATCACAATCATCACCAGCACCACCACAACCGCCACCACAACCACCACTATAATAATCATCATCAGCATCATCATCATCATCATCAGCATCATTATTTTTTGACTATTCGTATCATCATCCCCATCATCCTCATGGTGAGCAGCAGCATCATCACCGACATTACCACAGCCAGCACAATCACCTGCATTACCACCAATGAAATCATCGTCATCGCCATCATCAGCATCATCATCAGCAGCCTCAGCATCATCGGCAGCAGCATCATCATCAACGTCATTATCATAAGCATCGTCATCATCAGCAGCATCAGCATCATCAACATCATCACCATCACCACCAATCAACATAATTACCAGCATCACCGCCAACGACGACATCATCAACATCATCATCATAATCATCGTCAGCATCGTCAACCTCGGCATCATTATCAGCATCATCGTCATCATCACCATAATCGTCATAGTCATCACAAGTATCACCAGCACCACCACAACCACCCCCTCCACCACCACAATCATCATCGTCATCATCATCATCATCAGTAGCATGATTATCATTGTTACCATGACCATCATTACCATCATCGTCAGCAGCAGCATAATCATCATAATCATCAGCATCATCAACACCAATATAAACAGCATCGTCATCGTCGTCAACAGATCGCCCACACCATAAGCATCACCACCATGGTCATCAGCATAATCATCGCCAAACTAGCATCAGCAACAGCATCAGCAACATCGTCACCGTCGTCGTCATAATCATTCCCATCGTCATAATCAGAATCATCATTATCAACAACAGCGTCAACATTATCGCCGTTTCCGTCAACATCATCATCATCATCACCATAACAATAACAATCAGCATCACCATTCTCATCATCATCATCATTATCATCATCACTGGCATCACAAGCTTCATCGTCAAGCGCACCATCAACATCAACATCATCATTATCATCATCATCATCATCACCATCATCATCATTGCCATCATCGCCGTCGTCCTGCCGCCACCACAACAAACATCAACACCATGCCCATGATCAGCATCCTCAGCAACATCGTCATCGCCATCGTCGTCGGCATCATCATCATCACCATCATCAGCATCGGCACATTCATCAGCATCATCATCATCAGGAGCCGCCCGCATCCTAATCATGACCAACGTCATCATCATCATCACCATCAGCATCGTAATCATCAAAGTCGTCATCATGACCAGCATCATCATCATCAGCATCATCAGCATCAGCATCATCAGCATCATCATCAGCATCCGCATCATCATCGGCATCACCATCCTTATTGTCACCATTGTCGTTGCCAGTTTCAATGCATCAACACGGTCAGCTGAATCATGATCACGATCGTCACCGGCATCATCGGCATCATCATCATCATCATCATCATCATCATCATCATCATCGGCATCATCATCGTCAGCACGATCATCATCATCACCAGCAACACCGTCATCCTCATCAGCAGCAGCAGCATCATCATCACCGTCATCAGCATCATCATCAGCATCATCATGACCAGCGATATCATCAGCAGCAGCATCATGTTCGTTCGCATCGTCGTCATAAGCATAAACAACATCATCATGCTCATCATCATCATCATCATCATCAGCATCATCATCAGACTGATCATCAAAATCAGCATCGTCAGCATCAGCAGCAGCATCGTCGCCTTCATCATCACACTTATCATCATCATCGTCAGCATGATCATCATCATCATCATCATCATAATCGTCATTACCATCATCATCATCAGAATCACCGTCGTTATCGTTGTCGTCACCGTCGTCGTCGTCGTGGACCGCATCATCATCAGCATCGTCATCATCATTATCAGTATCATCACCATCACCATCATGATC